GCTTCACAGCATTTTATAGAAATTTCAACGAGCATCCTAACCTTTTCGCGTTCCGAACAACCTTCCAATGTGACATCAAGCACCATGCATTACATTTGCACTATGGGTCCATCTGTCTCGGCCCGCGCTCGCAGACTAGCGCCGGACAAGTTTAAAGCTGCTAAGGTGGAATTCGAGCAAATGCTCGAACTTGAAATAATCCGCCCGTCCAAAAGTGCATGGGCATCACCATTACGCATGCTGCCGAAGAAACCATGTGACTGGCGTCCCTGTACTGACTACAGGGCACAACAAAGTTACCGTCCCAGTTAAATAACACATTCCACACACACACGACTTAATCGCAACTCTAGCTGGTAAGTCTATCTTTAGCAAAGTCGAGTTAGTTGTCACCAAAATCAGATGCCTGTGACGCCAGATGACATTGCTAAAATATCAGTCACTAGGCCATTCGGCCTATACGAGTACCTCAGAATGCCATTCGGCCAGCTGAAGTCTGCTCAAACCTTTCAGCGGTTCATTCATGAGGTAACTCAAGGACTCGAAGACGTTTACCCTTATCTAGATGACATTATCAGCAGCAGCTCTTCTGACGATGATCGGCTTCGTACCCTCGATGCCCTCTTCCATAGCTCGACGCAACATGGGGTTACCGTCAACCTCGAGAAATTCGAGCTCGACCAAAGCTCCATCGACGTCCTTGGCCACCGAATATCCGCCTCCGGTATTGAAGCACTGCCAGAGAAAATACAGGCGTTGAGGACTATCCAGTCCCTAGTTCCCTCAAACAGTTACATCGATTCCTTGGCCTGACAAACTATTATCCATGCTTTATTCCTAATTGCGCGAGCATTGTTCGACCAACGGCTGACTTGCTCCGCGGTAAACAACCCTATTTTTATTTTACAGACGACGCTAGACTGCCTTTTAAGAAGCTTAAATACGCAAGTTCCGACATAGCGCTTCTCAATTACCAAGGTACCTCAGCACCACTCTCTCTGACAACTGAGACATCCGATACTGCCGTCAGTGCAGTTCTTCAACAACGCATCGGCCACGAATGCACACCTCTAGGTTTCTTCTAGAAACATTTACAACCTGCCGAATGGCGTTACAGCACCTTCGGTAGGGAACTGTTAGCAAGCTACCTAGGTAGCAGATATATCCGCCACTATCTCGAAGGTCGACATTTCACTGTCGTCACTGCCCACAAGCCATTGCTTTGCGCAAACACTGATGCAACAGAGGAGTATTCTCCGCAGGAAACTGCACACCTATACTACCTTTCTCAGTTTATGAGAGACGTACCACGTGTCTCAGGTGCCCTCCATTCCGTCGCTGATGCGCTTTCACGCATTTATCAGATCTTATCGCCTGACACCAACGTAGACCTAGCCGCCATAGCTGCTGCCAAATAAGCAGATCCCGACCTGGTAAATGAAGTTGGTTTTTATAGCTAGATAACAAAAAATATTTACTGTATTAACATAGGTTTCCCTGCAATCCGATCTGCATTTTCGACTCGCTCACCGGGCTCCCGCTACAGCCTACTCGCTAGTATCCTCTACGTACGAGCAGCCCTTGCTGCCCTTGGCACGTGATGCATTAAATCCAAAATTGATCCTGCGCTCAACAGCTTCATTATCACATTAAACTGTAGTACACAACCTCACCCTATGCCAATTAAAGACCACAGCTTATCAAAGTCGGTACCCTAAACTTTGCAATACATGCTCAGTTTTCGGCAGCGAAAGCCAAAAATGGAAGGCTTTCCTACTTAAGATGTTCGATTCGACCGGAGCCAACGTTCCGCTGTACAAGAAGTGTACACTTCCAGTACCGGATTACTGCTCGATGGTCTACTGCAACATAAGGAAAACTGATACATAGGTGCTTGAACGTGTTCAGCGCAAATCCACCGGACAACCTGGGTACGACAAACAGGCTTAGCTACTTAGCTGCTTGCAAGCTACTGCTGCTAGAGCCCGTGTGGCTCCGAAGACTGAAGATCAACTTATCGCTTTTGTTTAATATTATCCATGGCAGCTCCACGCTCTGGGCTTCGCACTTCATTTTCGATATGAGCCGAACTATAACTTCCGCCATGCATTCGGTATTTCCATTAAGCCACAACAGCATATGGCCAGATGAGATGTGCAAGTGAAGTGGGGAAGCAGCTCTCTGGGCGATGGCAGCACGCGGGGTCGTATAAATACTTGACCCTAGTGCATTACCGCATTTTATTCATAATCTTAACTCCATCTTGCGCTACTTTCAAATACGTGAGCATTTCAAACACTTTACTGCGAACAAAACCGTTCTGGAAAAGTCCTTCCAATATCCAAAGTTGTTGTATCAGTTGATCAGGTTGGTATTTTTCCTGTGTCTGGCATGTCGAGAAGTATATGGTTTATTTATTGTCTATTTATTTATTATCGACGTAGGGCAAAAACCTGGATGTCAATTTCTTAAACCGTTACGCAGCCAGCTGAAACAAGCTCACTTCATAGCTGCGGTCCTGCACTTCGCCCTGTGTATTCGGACGCCATATCACCCCACTCAGCGTATCCCAGTCTACTGAACTCTTATCCCACAACCTGCCAGAAAACGAAGAATACAAAACGACCCGGTGGGCAAGTGACCCAGAGAACTGGCTCCTCCTGGATCTCAAACTTTTGCTGATCGACTATCGCCTAAAGCGAGAAGCAGGATCGGTACGCTTTAGAACCAATACGCGAATATAAGGCCAACCTCCGATGAGTGGAGAACACCAAAAGTAACGCTAGGAAAATTTTATTAAGTGGGGCGGAACGCAATTTAGTGCTAAAAATAAGGCACCGGAAGATAGCTAGCTAGGGAAAGATGTGGTCGCGTGCGCGGAGAGCAAAGATGGCCGCGGAGCCGATGAGCGTCGCGCGGTTCGAAGGCGGATGCTGTGTTGACTCAAACGAACGAGAGCAAGGTTCAAACAGGCGAGCGGCTAATTTGCTATGTACATCGAGAAAATATAATTTTGTGATTTTGTAATATTTTACGCAGCATGCGGCAGCCAAACAGGGGAATCTCCAGGTCACTACACAGCCCTCCTCTTAGAAGGGGACCGTAGGTGACCCTTCGATCTACGTGAGGACTGTCCGTCGCCGGCCAGCCTTCTGCGAGACCAGGCAGTGAAACCTGATGCAGCTGCTGGGGGAGAACCAATGCGATCGGACGCTAGGGGGCTCCCACCTGTGTCCTCCCTACAGGTGCCAAAAACACAAAATGGGGGGAAATGTTCGTAGCGTTTGAGTGCGTAGTGTCACAGCACATGATGTTTGAGCACGTAGTGTCCGAAAACATAACATTCGATTGTCGTTGAACGTCCGCGTGTCGGGGATATGAAAAAGAAGCGGAAACGCGGAGTGTCAAACAGGTGCAAGCGACAGAGCTAACAAAAGGCGATAGCGCTTACCGAGTGCGATAAGCGAATAAAGCGAGGACCATTTAGTGTTTTCAAAACGATTTTCTCCTTTTTATGTTTTCAAAACGTTTTTGCGGTTTTTGGGATTTTCAAAACGCATTGCAAAATTTTTTTGGTTTTCAAAACGTTTTTGTTGGATGGGTTAGGCCACAAGCAAAAAGGAAGCGGGAAAGGAAGAAGGAAAAGAAGACTAATCTTTTAATCGCGCTGGCCAATGAACCGGCCCACCTGACCTAGTCGATTTCGGACGTTCGGTCGGAGGCGTTGTCGATCCAGCAATTTTGTCGGATGAGAAAGCTTTCGGCTCGATAGAATCGGAAGGAACTGAGTCGGAAGGGTTAGTCGGAGAATGCTTCGTAGCATCGGAAGTAGGCATGTCGTCGATCATAGGCTGCGTTGACGCGTCCGAAGGTGGACGGGAGACATCGTCGATCTCAGGTTCTACATGGGCAACCTTGAGACGGTCGATAGAGACAGTATCACGTTTACCGTGGCGGTCCATAACGAATACGCGGTCCTTACGTTTAAGAACCTTAAATGGACCTTCGTAGGGTCGTTCGAGTGGTCTGCGTAGACCATCGACTCGAAGGAAAACGTAAGCGCAATGTAGTAGATCTTGTAGAACGAACGATTTACGTCGTTGTTCTCGCACGTCGGTTTCTTTGATATGGCGCATGCTCGTGGCTAACTGCCGAGCGTAATTCGCGTCCTAGCGGGGTGTTCTAGGTTTCCAGAAAAGAAGTCCCCAGGTAGTCGAAGAGGTTGTCCATATACCAGTTCGGCGCTGGACGTGTGCAAACCAGCTTTAAGAGCTGATCGGATACCAAGTTGTATCATAGGTGGTGCGTCGGTCCAGCTTAGTGCATTAGCGGCACTAAGTGAGGCCATCAGCTGTCGGTGGAAACGTTCCACCATGCCGTTGGATTGCGGGTGATAGGCGGTAGTCCGGATGCGTTGACAACCGAGGACTTTGAGAAGATCGTTGAAGGTTGAGGATTCGAACTGCGGACCGCGGTCGTTAATCACGGTGGCTGGACAGCCATGTGAAGCGACCCAGCGCTCAACGAAAGCGCCCGTTACGGTGTCCGCGGATACGTCGGGTATAGGTACGGCCTCGGGCCAACGGGTGTATCGGTCGATCATGGTCAGAATGTAGGCCATTCCTCTGGATGGTGCCAAGGGTCCAACTATGTCGAGATGGACATGGGGGAGGCGAGCTGAGACTTGCGGAAAACGACCAAGCGGAGCGGACACGTGCCGCTGTATCTTGGCCTGCTGACACGTTAGACAACCGCGTGCCCAGCGCTTAAGATCGCGTTGCATTCCGGGCCAAACGTATCTCTCGGATATGAGCTTGATCGTGGCTCGGATGCCTGAATGAGAGATGTTATGAAGTTTGTCGAAAACTAGACGTCGAAAGGTTTCTGGAACGACGGGTCGAGGTCGTCCAGTAGAAATATCACACAAGATTGTGCCATCAGATGACGGCAGTGGATGCGGTGTGATTTGTAGCGAAGAATCTTGTTTGAGGTTCTGACAGTCAGTGTCGGTTAGTTGCGCGGTAGCCATGGCAGATAAGTTGATTACCTGGCCAGCGGTGTGGATTGCGGAGACGCGCGAAAGGGCGTCCCCCCCCCCCCCCCCCCCCCCCCCCCCCCCCCCCCCCCCCCCCCCCCCCCCCCCCCCCCCCCCCCCCCCCCCCCCCCCCCCCCCCCCCCCCCCCCCCCCCCCCCCCCCCCCCCCCCCCCCCCCCCCCCCCCCCCCCCCCCCCCCCCCCCCCCCCCCCCCCCCCCCCCCCCCCCCCCCCCCCCCCAGCAACGACGTTAATCTGACCTGAAATATGTCGGAGGTCAGTAGAAAATTGAGCTACGAAATCCAGCTGACGAACCTCACGTGGTAAGGGTCGAGCGGATTGATTTCGAAAGGCGTAAATAAGCGGCTTATGATCAGTGAAGATAACGAACGAATTACCTTCTAAGACGTGCCTGAAATGTCGGACGGAAAATAAACTGCCAGCAGTTCGCGGTTGAACGTGCTGTACCTGACTTCTGCCGGTTGTAAACGTCGGGAGTAGAAAGCGAGTGGTTTCCAGCATCCTTCAGTGAATTGCTGCAGGACGGCGCCAATGGAGGTGTCCGATGCATCGACTGCAACGCTGAGAGGAGCTTTGGGGTCGGAATGGTGAAGCATAACGGCTTCAGCCAAGGCCTCTTTGCAGGTCTTGAAGGCTTCGGTTGCAGCGGGCGTCAACTCGACGTTGCCGTTCTTGCGTCCACGAAGTAATTCGGTCAACGGACTGAGCAAGTCGGCACAACGTGGCAGAAATCGACGGTAGTAGTTGATCATCCCACTAAAACGGCGGATGGCGGCCAAAGTAGTCGGAACGGGAAGTCCTTAATAGCGCTGACTCGGTCTTCGAGCGGCCGTATGCCATGCTGGTCAATTCGATGACAAAGAAATTCGATAGATGGTTGCTGAAAGAGGCATTTGTCAGCGTTGACAGTAATGCTATTAGAGGCTAACCTTTTGAAAAGCATCTTGAGGTGCTCCGCGTGCTGTTCTTCGGAAGAACTAGCTACTAAGATGTCGTCTATATAAGGATAAACAAAGTCGAGACCTCTCGTGACAGAGCATATGAAGCGCTGAAAAGTCTGAGCTGCGTTGCGAAGACCGAATGGCATTCGCAGGAATTCTAAAAGTCCGAAAGGCGTGATGACTGCGGTTTTCGGAATGTCATCCTTGGCCACAGGGATCTGGTGGTAAGCGCGAACCAGATCGATCTTCGAGAACCCACGAGCGCTACGTAGGCTAGCCGTGATGTCCTGAATGTGCGGAATCGGATAGCGGTCGGGGACGGTAGCGTTATTGAGAGCGCGATAGTCGCCACATGGACGCCAGTCTCCTGACTTTTAAGGCACCATGTGTAGAGGCGACGCCCACCGGCTCTTAGACGGGCGAATAACCCCTAAGTCTAGCATGTGCTCGAATTCGGAGCGTGCAATTTTGAGCTTGTCGGGGGTCATGCGCCTGGCTTTTGCGAACACAGGCGGACCTTTCGTAACGAGGTGATGTGTCGCGGCGTCGGTTGCGGAAGGCAAGGGGACGACAGGACGGAAGGCCTGCGGAAAACTATGGGTCAGCGTTTGCCCGACGGGTGAACTAAGTTGAGTCGCGTACACGGGACTGATTGACGCGGTGTCGGTCAAAGTCCCAATGACTGTGAGATTCGTAAGGCGATCGACTAGACGGTGTCGCCTAACGTCGACGAGTAGGTCGTAATGATGTAAGAAGTCGAGACCAAGGATAGGCGTTTGAATATCCGCAACGAGGAATATCCATTTGAAAGCGCGTCGGAGGCTGAGATTTAGCGTGCGCGAGCGTTGGCCATATACGCGGATAATGGTCCCGTTAGCTGCGCGCAATGAGCTAGTCACCTTTTCGATCGGGTCGTTTGGACCACGCGGGAGAACTCTGACTTCTGCGCCAGTACCGATGAGATAGCGAACTCCGGTTCTACGATAGGTGACGAAGAAAAGGCGACTGCGTTGACCAGCTACGTCCGTCGCCCCAACGTGCTTGTCCGCCCGTTTCCCTGCTGCTGTCGTTTGACAAAACAGGGCGGGCGACATGATTTAGTTTGCTGGCCGAATCGTTCGTGGTACCAGCAGTAACCGTTTTTATTCGGTGATCGCGAAGGAGAGTTCGAACGTGAACGCGAACGGCTCCTAGAGCATTTACAGCGGTTATGTCCGGAGGCCAAAAAGTCTGCGAATTGTCGAGTCAAGGTTACCATCTGGGATTTACGCGTGGCCATATCATCGTCCCGTTTCGTCTGGACCTGCGAAACCTGGCCGTACGACTACCAAATTCGGTCGGCTGTATCGGCCAGTTTGGATAAAGGTGCGTTTTCACTAGCGCAGAGGACGTGTAGTATCTCGCGAGTAAGTCGTTGCAACCACATCTCCCGAAGAAAAGAATTATCTATCGTAGTGGGTTTAGCTAGGCTCTGCATTTTTCGAAGCAGCTGAGACGGCTTAAGATCGCCAAGATCGGTTTCGTTGAGGAGTTTCGTAACTCGTTGTCGATCGGATAAGCCTGTTCTTCTCAGAACAGCTTTCTTGACTGCGTCGTAAGTATTTTGGTCGTCAGGAAGATCTAGAATGTCATCAATGCCATCGATGACATTTAGCGGAGGCGCGGAAACGACAAGGTGGAACTTGGTCTTTACGGACCTAATACCACGCAAAGAAAATTGCGACTCTAGCAGACCAAATCAAGACTTAGGATTAGTCTCGCGAAAAGGTGCGATAGGAAGTGTAACTGTGCCGATCTGAACGTCAGAACCTACGCGATCAGTTTCCATAGCGAGCAAAATAGCGAGCCAGCGAGATTAAACCAGAAAATGAAAAGTGAAAATCAGATGGGTTAGCGAAAAAATGTGGCCAAATCTGAAAAGAAGGTTAGCGAAAACTCGCCGGATAATGACCAAAAGTCGGGCGTCACTAATATAGCCAGAAGCAGGATCGGTACGCTTTAGAACCAATACGCGAATATAAGGCCAACCTCCGATGAGTGGAGAACACCAAAAGTAACGCTAGGAAAATTTTATTAAGTGGGGCGGAACGCAATTTAGTGCTAAAAATAAGGCACCGGAAGATAGCTAGCTAGGGAAAGATGTGGTCGCGTGCGCGGAGAGCAAAGATGGCCGCGGAGCCGATGAGCGTCGCGCGGTTCGAAGGCGGATGCTGTGTTGACTCAAACGAACGAGAGCAAGGTTCAAACAGGCGAGCGGCTAATTTGCTATGTACATCGAGAAAATATAATTTTGTGATTTTGTAATATTTTACGCAGCATGCGGCAGCCAAACAGGGGAATCTCCAGGTCACTACACGCCACTAGCAGATTCTGCTCCGCAATTAAACTTACTCTCACCCATGATTTCAGTGTCAATTTGCCTTACCCGTGCCACCAAAGAATACATTATACTGGATCACTACTTCCATTGTGATGCCGTTACCGCGTCTTATTCCACAACTGCTGGTTTATAGCACCACTAACCTTTCACCCTCTCTTGCCTTCAGCATTAGCAGTTGTTCCTGTACATCACCGCTACTTCTCTTAACTGACGGTCCGACAGAGCACGTCCCTTAATCTCTCAACCAAGAGTGGATTCTTCTAAATAAATAATTAACTTAGTTTTTATTCCAGGCTAAGCGGGGCAAGCATGCACACTCATGATCGTGTTAAGAGTAAAAATGTTGGTTAGCTAAAATAAATAGAACAACAGGATGGTCACATGTTGATATATAAATGTATGTAGGCGTGCCTGTAGGCGCTTGTAGCTGAGGTTATGGTATCTGTAGATGATTTTCCGCACTTTTGATCGTGTTTGAACGTGTCGTCAGTGCAATCTGGTGCATATCTGTGGACTTCAAGCAGTTTCCGGGTAGACAACGAGGTGACTTTAGTTGGGGCGAGTCACAACCGCCACGTTAGGGTGCAGTTAAGCAGATATTTATTGTTTTCTGTAGGGAGAACACTTGCCAGGCGAGAACACACCACGTCACGGAACACCGCCGCTGAACTATTTGCAGGAATGAGGTGAACCCGAACCACCCAACGTGCACCTCGAACAAGATGTTTGGCAAATCAGCCCTGCCATTTTCCTCTTCTAACTATTTCTCCGTTGAGTTACCTGAGACAACGCAGAGCTCCACCTTCGAGTGACTCACTCATTCTGCCAACGATGACAAAGTTTACTCCACAAATACTAGTTCAGAACTACGTCGGCTCCACTACCCAATCTTCCCTACAGCTACAGCAATTGCTCATGTAAGCCACTGCTCCAAATGTTTACAGAGTGCTCAGGGGCACATGTCCATTAATCACTCAAAAAAGCGGATCCCTCTATAAAAATAACGCTGCACTTTACTTCTCTGTTAGTTTTATCCCTTTGGTTTCCCTAAGACACTGTAGAGAACCACCTTCAATAGGGTACATTTAGCAATTTTGGCACGGCTGCTCCATTATACTCTACATCCGCTGGTTCATAGCATTGCTAGCTCCATATCCTTTCTTCCATTCATCTACCGCATTTCTCCCATAATGCAGTTCTCTTCCTAAATCGAAAATTCGGCAGTCCATGTCCATTAATCTCCCAATGAAGAGCGGATAAGGTTACCCTAGTTATTCGGTGCTCGCTCGCAGTTCTTTGTGCCAATTTGACTTACCTGATGCAACGTAGAGCTCCACCTTCGTGTGGTTTACTTAACTGCGGCACGCTGTCTCATTATATTACGCATTTGAAGATCCAATGCATTGCTGGCTCCCCTATCCTATCTACTGGTCAGCTACAGTAATTGCCCCCCATAAAACGCCGCTCTTTATCTCAACTGAGAGCCCAAAAGTCCGTATCTCTCAAACTTTCAACCAAGAGCGGTTCCGCTAAGTCATGATTTCGGCCCTTAAGGCCTCTGTTCTCTTTGCTCAAACGGCTTACCTGTGACACCATAGAGCACTACCTTCGAGTACTTCACTTAACTATTTGTCATCGCTGCCCCGTTTTACTCCATATCTGCAGATGCGCATCATCGTTAGCTCTACTACTGTATCTTCCCTTCAGCTATCGCCTCTTCTTATCCTAATATTCGCAGAACATCCCAATGTATCCCTTATGTAATCCTTGTCTCGTTTATATCCCTACTACCGTGGAACACCAACGTTGCGTGCTTTAATTAACGACCTGTGGCACGTTGCCGCAATTTGTTCCACATCAGCAGGTTCATAGCATCGCTGTTTACCCTTCACTATCTTCCCGGCAACTATAAAAATTGTTTATGTAAGTCGACGCTCCACTTCTCAACGGACTGATCGGAAGTGCATATCCGTTAATCTCTTAACTAAAATGCATGTCCATCTGATTAGCTCTAACACCTACTGCTCCACTTTCCTGTTGTTCACTTAATTAGTTGGGGCATGTTGTCATATTTATTCCACAGCTGCAGGTTCATAACATCGCGGGCTACCCTACCCGAACTTACATTCTGCTACAGCAATTGTTACTGTAAGGCATCTCTCCAAAGCTTGACAGACTGCTCGGAAGCGCATGCACGTTAAGCTATCAAATACGTGAAGTTATTTCTACCTAATTAACATTGTTCTTTGCCTCTCTATTCACTGTGTCCCTTCGACTTAGTTGAAACACCGTATAACTTTACCTTCGGGTGGTTCACGTGACCATTCTGGCACCGCTGTCCCATTTTGCACCGAATCAGGAGGTACGCAGCCGCTGGCTCCTATACTCTTCCCTCCCTTAAACTACCGCATTTGAGCCTATAAATCAGCGCTCCTCCTCTTAGTCGAATGCTCAGCAGTCCATGTCCAGTAATCTCTCAAGCAAGAGCGGATACTGCTACGCTATTTATTTGGCGCTTACCCCTCTGTTCTCTTTGGCTCTTTGACTTACCTGAGTCAACGTTGAGCTCTACCTTCGAGGGGTTCACCTAATCATATGCGGCACGCAGCTGCATTTTATTTTGCATCCGCAGGTTCATAAAAGCGCTGGCTTCCCTACACTTTCTTTCCTACAGCTATTGCAATTCTTCTATAAATAAGCTCCCCACCTCTTAGGCATAATCGCGGCAGTCCATGTAGCTTAACATCTCAAGCAAGAGCGGATTCTGATACCCTATTTATTCGCCGCTTAACTCCTCTGTTTTTTGGTCCCCTTGGCTTATCTGTTACGCATTAGAGCTCCACCTATAAGTGGTCCACGTAAACATCTGTCGCATGTTGTCCCAGAACGTTACACAAATGCAGGTTCATAACATCACTGATAATGTTAGGTTATCTTCCATGCAGCAACTGCGATGCCCCTGGATATCACCGCTCCTCCTTTTACCTGAATTCTCGGTATTCCGTGTCCTTTAATCTTACGTCAATGACCTATTTTTCTACGTAATAATTCCGTAACTTTTTCCCTCTTTTCCCATTTCAGTTGAATTGCATTTGATACCATATAGTTCCAACGTTGTGTTTTTCACTTAACCATTCAGGGTACGCTGCCCATTTTATGTCACATCTGCAGGTTCTAACCTCGATGGGTACCCTACACTAGCTTTCCGTCAGCTGCAAAAATTGTTGTTGTAAATCTACGCACTTCCTTTTTACTACTTGCTCGGCAATGTCCGTTAGTCTCCTAACTAAGAGCGGGTTCTGCTGCATAATAAATCCAGCTGTTTCCTCTCTGTTCCCTGCGTCTATTTTATCAACCGGACAATGTAGAGCTTCACCGTCCTGCCGTTCAGTTAATTATTGGTAGCGATGCTGACCCACGTTATTCCACACCTGCAGCTTTATAGCATCTCTGGCTTCCCTACTCATATTCCCTTCATTTATAACAATTGTTCCTAATAATCACTTCTACTCTTTAACGATTATTCCAAAGTCCATGTCCCTTTCACTTCAACCAAGTGCAGGCAGTGATACGTAATATGTCCAGCTCCTCCCCTCTCTGCGACCCTTTGACTTACCTGGACAAAGTAGAGCTCCATCTTCTGGTGGTTCACCCAACAATTTTGGCACCCTGTTTCTTTACTTCACGTCTGCTGGTTCATAACATCGCTGGCTCGCATATCCCTCCTTCTCTTCAGCTAACGCACCTGATCCTATTAATCAACGCTCCTCTTCTTAGTCGAAGACTAAGCAGTCTACGTCCTGTAATCTCTCAATCGAGAGCGGACTGCTTCGATATTTATTCGGCGCTTATCCCCTCTGTCCTCTAGGTCCATTTTAATTACCTGAGGCATAGTAAAGCTCCAACTTCGAGTGGTTCATTTAAGCACATTGGCACCGCTGGCGCATTTTATTCCCTCATTGCGTCTTCATAGCATTACTGGCTCTCCTACCCTACCTGCACTTCAGCTACATAAATTGTTTATGAAAATCGCAGCGCCTTATCTGAATTGACAGCCCAACGGCTCATATCCCTCAATCTTTTAACCAAGTGTGGGATCTACTTCGTCGGGAACTAAGCTCTTACTTTCCATGTTTTCTGTAGGTAGTTGACTTACCTGTGAAACCGTAGATCTCTGGATTCAAGTGGTTTATTTATTATATTTTGGTGACGCCGCCCCATATAGTTCCACCCCTGTAGGTTTAGCGCGTCGCTTGCTTTACAACCTCATCTTCCCTTCAGCTGCAGCAATTCTTCCAATACACCTACGCACCTCCTCTTAACAGCCTGCTTGGCTGTTCGTATCCCTTTTATTTTATAACCAAGTACGGGTTGTAATACGTCCTGAATCCGGCTCTCACCCCTCTGTATCCATTTGACTTACCTGCACATAGTAGGGCTCCAGCTTCCAGTGATTCACCTAACCACTTCGGCACCGCAGCCTCATATTATTCCACCACTGCATGTTTATAGCATCGCTGACTCACCTACCCTGTCGTCGCTTCAGCTGCTTCAATTCCTGTGAATTACAGCTCTTCCTCCTAACCGACCGCTTGACAGTCCGTGTCCCTAAATCTCTTATACACGAGCGGATTCTCCGATGTACTAAATCCTGCTCTTTCCCTAGCTCTTTGCTGTGACCATTTGCCTTACTAGACACCGTTGAGCACCCCTTCGGGTGCCTTACTTAATCTATTATGGCCCATTTGTGCAATTTTATTTCACAAACTTAGCTCCACTGCATTGCTAGCGATGACACGCTAGCATCACTACAGCTACGGTCTTTGTTTTTATCGTCCACTGATCTAACAAAACACTTGTTTTTATATCCCGCCCCTTGTGTACTGCACCTTCTTATCTGCTACATTGTTCCACATATCTTGACACCTACAATTTTACACGAAATTTACTTCCTGAAAGTCAATATCAGAAGGCATTCTCAAACAGCTGACGTCATCTTTTCTAGATATGCATACAAAACGAAGTAAAAGTTTGGTAAGACTCTAGGTCGCCAGCCCTCTTTACTCTTTTTTACTACGCCATCCTTCCTTTCTCTGACATTTGCTTTCTTCTCCATCCGTGAGACTTGAACAGAAATGTTGAATAAAATATCCTCGATTTATCTAAAGGTTTTAAAGTTAATATTTGTGTGTCCAACGGCATGTGGACAGCTCGGACCACCATCTCGAGCATTCTGTCTCTTTGCTATGGATCATCTGGATGTTTGAACGACTGCGTATCAGACATTTTCACCATCGGAAAGTCGCCTGAAAAAGCTTCACTTGCCGGCTAGTGATCAAGTTACTTTCGAACTATAGCTTTATACGCCGTTCACCACGCGAGTGGATTAATTCTCCTGGTACCAGTTTCTTCATATGCTTAACGTCAGTATCCGATGGATATGTTGTCTACCTCGCCAGTGCGGTCTGCCCTCAAGCATTGCCTCTGGAGGTGTATCTATTAGGTTTGTGCTATTACTGTTGGGCATACCTGTGTTTTGGAGATTACAGAAAGCCGGTTGATTCGTAGCCTTCACTGGTTTGAACAATTGGCTTCACGTCAGCATTACCTTCGGCAAATCACCTCAGTAAAAGCCTCCCCCTATGCGTGTGATCAACGTACTAGCAATACCATGGCGTTAGGCTCCGTTCATTTCGCCAGTGGGTTAGTTCTCCCAGTATCAACAACTCCATCTGCTTGGCGTTAGTATCCGATATATACTAAGTGGGAATTAGATCAGTCCTCGGTAGAATTCCTAGGTCACAGCTTCTCTTCATCTGGC